TGTCACTTCTTCGGCCTGACTAGGGAATTCGGGGTGTTATTTTCACTTACAAGTGCAGGTTAGTTTCCTCCAATGAGTGAAACCCTGGCGCTGACCAGTTGCTCGACCGCTTCGGTTAGTCTTTTACACCTCTTCAGTAGCACAGCCAGGCAGCTAACAAATGGGATGGAATTGCATACTTGGCAGAACCAAAACGCCTCTGCCGTGTTAGTGTACCGTTGTGTTGTTCCCGTCCCAAGGCAGGTAGTGTGATAGGATTTCAAACACATGGTACACACCAGATCAATTTTTACTACTTTAGCACATGATTCGCATTTGCTCTTCATGCGAGACATGTTCACAGTAGGCGTGCTGTTTTAAGGGGTAGCAAGTGGACAGCGATACTGACGCACCGTGTTTGACTTCGCTTCACTTTTCATTGCTGGCTATCAGCGCATGTTTGGGGTCAGGGGGCCAGACGTGTCGCCTCCAGCTAAGTCACACGTTCCTTAGGGTAGATGGGCGACGTGTGTGTTATCCATCCAGCAGGTAAATGGATAGGCAGCGATGCAGCCCGGAATTGAGTCAAAAAATGTCTTGGAAAATACTGTCTAATGACGACAATGGTTGTTCGAAGGGTGGACCCATTTGACAACTATTACTTTGTACAGCGACTAGAAGGAGTGGTAGTAAGATGATCAGGTGACGCTCAAAATGATCTTTATAATAAAACCACAAGAGTTCTTGTGTGACCAGAGAAAAATTAAATCCTCCGATAAGCTTCAAACACGATTGACTTCGGAATGGCGAAAATGGTCACATCAACACTCCCAGCCGATTCCGAAAAAAAATATAAACAATCACTACTGGATTGGATATTCACCAACGAAGAACTAATGGTCGAGAAGTTGATCGTCGACGTCCACTTGGCCGCAACTATCATGTAGTCCTACCCTTCTAATACATTTGCTATGTAAAATGTCCAGTGGAAATTGTGGACGCAACAAAAATGATTATGCGCCACGACATATTAGCTCGATTAGATGAGACAGCCAACTGGACCTGGCTGGCAGTTCAGGCACCACCTAGTGCACGAGAACATTTCTTCAGCCAGTTTAACTCTCTGGCTGCCGAATCTTCAGCAACTAAGACCTTTCACCCGAGAAACGTGGTCTCATTTGTGCGAAGCAGGGTACGTGTGTATAGCGGCGCAAAACTCGGCCCGGCATATCTGCAAACTCTCTCCGAGCGCCGAGACCTAGATGGCCTATGCAACAAAACGTACTCAGCTTGTTGGCGAGGATAGAATGGCTTACCAGCGGAAGCTGGTAGTGCGTATGGCCTCAAATCGCCAGTTTCGCTATCAACACGTCAATAGTCTACTTAATATAAAACGGGGAATCCTTCCTATGCACACAGCGGATGGACCCACACGGACACTGAAAGAGGCGGCGAATACCCTGCGCCTACAATATCCTGCAAGCTTTCAGTGTGATCACTGGTCACCCAACCCCATGACAATGGTTGTTTCACCTCCAAAACTCACGCTGCTGTTCTTCACGGCAGAAGCTGTACTCAAGTGATGTTGAATATGCGTATGCGCAGCGCTCCTAGCATTGGTAATGCACACACGAAATAGCTAGCGGCGGTAGGAAAGAGTTTAGTTGATCGTTTTGCTAGATTCTTTCATTACCGTTTTGAAGAAATATGCGTGTCTGACATTTAGAAACATGGGATGATTACTCCTATTCACAATGAAGTATTTGTTTCAGCCAACTGCCGTCCAATTATCTTACTACCGGTTCTATCAAAGGTCATGGAAACGATTATTTCTGGTGCACTAACGGCCTACTTGGAGGAATTTTACTACTTTGTACCGGAACAGCATGGATTCCGACGAAATCGATAATGCACTACAAACCCACTGCTAGCAAGCTGCAGTTGGACTGAAGCAGTAGACTCTGGCAGAGGTTGATATACTCTTTCTCGACTTCTCAATGGCGTTCGACCGGTTAGACCATGATATAATGCGCTTCGAACTCCATGCCTTTGGTACTGTGGTGGTCATCTCTTAACATGGATTAACAGTTTTCTTCTACAACGGCCTTTGGAAGTATGAGTGCGTGAGTCGCTGTCAGATGGCATCCGAGTTGAATGCGGAGTACCACAGGGATCGGTACTTGCACCGCAGATATTTTTGACGTATAAGTAACGATAACTCTCGCACCATAAGCTCGAACTACCTTCTTTATGCTGGTAACATCAAGGTATGGTGGGGGACCAATACACCAGCTGATATCACTGCACTTCAAGCAGATCGGTTTGGGGTATACGCTTGATCAATACAGAATCTACGTCGATTCAATGTGGATAAATGTAAATTGCTGCACATACGGAACCAGGTGATGTGCTCCTACCAACTAGACAACTAGGAGCTCTTAACTTCTTCTGGAGTAAAGTGATCTTTAGTCCAGGTTGACCTTGGATGTTGGAAACAGGCTGAGAGGACGTCAAAAAGCGGCATTCAACACGTGGGCCTCCTGAAGCGTGTATTCGGACGATTCGACCCTTCGATTGTTCCAAAACTTTTTGTCTCATACATACGGCCACGTGTGGAATACGCAAAACAGGTCTGGCAGCCATGGCTGAGGAGAGGTCTCACCGCCTTGGAGATACCCCAACTCCTGGCAACCAAAAACGTCAAGGGTCTGTATAATTTGCCGTATGAACGAAGGCTCCAATTGTTTGCGATTTTCAGCGAAAACTATCAATGATAGTGCGGGGATCACAAGTTCATTTACCAGATGTCAAGAGATCTACATGGTTGGCGGCATCCGGTTTCGGATTTGCCTGTCACTGTGACCAGCCACATGAAGCCTGCGCCTACAAAGGGACCACGGGTGGCTTGCGCTGCACCACACACAGCTCAATCCACACACCCCATATCCAGTGTAAACCCGCAGAAGTATGACTGGTAAGCACGTGGATGGGAGCCACGTTTCATCAACGGAGCCGGCTCATATTCCTTCACAGACAACTACAAGCACGCTGTATTTGGGGAAACAATCGCACACAAGGTGGTGGCTGGACCGTAGTCCGCTCCACACTGAGTGCATGGAACCACTCTTCGAGTCTAGCACGTCCACAAGGACCGTGCACCCTGTCCCCTCCAGCAACGACCAACTGTCTCCTGGAGCCAGTATGGACGAGGTAGTGGGTAATAGACAGGTAGGCACCTTGTCAACATGCACATCAAGCGAAGCCACACCGGGGATATCAAACAACAGCCAACCACTTGAAACAAGATGAAATAAAATAAATCCAATAATGCCTACAGGTACGTCGACATAACTCTTACTAAATGAGCGTATAAAATTTATTGGTTTCGAACTAATCCGCGATAATTTCAAGACCTCAGAAATAGCTTTTAAGGAAATGCAACAAATGCGAAAATGTTATCGAAGCTAACTACAATTAGCTTCAGCGACGTGTGCAAGTTTATAGAAGATAGTTCAGGTAGACATTAATATGAGAAAGTTAAGCATTAGGAGAAGATTGAAAACCCATCGCCAGCAATTATGGGACTTAGCATGCAAACACGCGGTTGGTAAATGGAGTGCAACGTACCTACAAACGCTGCGCCGGTTCTGCTTAGTTCTCTGCTGGACCCATCCTCGCTTCGGTGGTGGTCCCACGTGGACTCACTCATTGCTCACTAGGTCTGCCTGACTCAGGCAATCGCGACTGCATGTGCTACGGCACCATGTGCTCGATGTCGATGGAGTACAACCCATCGGCGCTTACAGCTCCCGCTCTTGCCGCTTCTTCTCTGCATGTATGAGGATTTTCTCCCGCATCTCGGCATAGCAAACATACACACACATACACTACATTTACCGATACTTGTTAATGCTCAGTTAACAGCAATTTGGAAGGCCACCATCTCAAGCTGGCAGAGCAGCACAGTCGTTTGAAATGCCATCGGGACTGATTTTCCGTATGCGTTTGCAGAATCTACAATGTCCTACCAGGATCTGTCATATGTGCGCCGACGCTGGCAGAGTTCAATTCCCGAATTGACCGTGCATTTATTTCGATGCACCAATTTACATGACTCATTAAACATGAATAAGTACAAGTGTCTGTAACAGGTTTCACTGGCGGTCAAATCCCAGATTTTGTTTCACTTTATCACCTGTATGTGTGTACTCGAGGAGGAGACAGGATTGTTAACAACATCATCCCATTTGTCGTTATTCCTAATGGAGTTACCCTACATGTAAAGTTTATATTACGTATACCTCAGTGAGTTCACCAGTGTCAACCCAATTTTGTCGAAGAATATTTTATTTTGAATTTTTGTCACAACCATCCTACAAGGCCAGTTAAACGTTAGCGTTCTTACCCCTTGTTACGTGAAATAGCTGTGAGCAGACCAGCATAAGCTCATCTTAAGAATTCGTTGAATCCTCTCACACCGAAAACATCCCTTCTTCCTGTCACATTAAACAATCTTTTTATAAGCTCCATTCCGGTCATTCTACGGGACTTGTCAAGCGATGCTTTTTTACCCGTTAAAAATGATTGTACATTGTTCGAAGGAGAAGTGGAGTTTGAAACCATATGTACAGAAGACAGGATAGACTGTGTGCATTGGACTTGTACTTGGCAGCATTATCCAGCTACCGGTTTAAGTCGTACTGAGAACCTGCAAGGTACGCGTTTAGTTTAGGCTTAGAAACTGGTTTTGCCGTTGATCGGTCATATCACATATAAGGCGCATTAATACAGCAAGAGTAGCTGCTGTGATGACGAATGTACCAAGTTGTCGGTCCCCAACCTACGGATTTTCAAATCTCCCCCGCTGGATACAACGAAGTATACGCAAGTAACATGGATGAGTTTGAGTAAAATGGACTCGGCGTACTATCCATGCCTACCGGTAGCCACATACCCAAGCTATAGCCCTATCCACGCATTATGTTTCTGCACCCAGTTAACCAACTTTGCACAACACGCAATTAAGTAGGACACTGAAACAGAATTCCTCTTAATGTCACCAAGGAGGTAGGACAGAAATCCTACCACAACTAAATTACAGAGAGCAAAGGATCAGAGCGGAGGTTTATTAATGTCGCAACCTTCACTCGTTCGGTGTCCCTTCAAGAACACCATCTGCCTCAGCCGGTTCGTCTGCCCCATTTTCCTCCTTCTCTTCATCTGAAGACAACCGGTGCTCGTCCATTTGCTGCATACTGGGTTCGTCACCTTGGTCCTCTTTTCGTTCGTTGGTTAACGAGACGTACTGATCAGCTTCTGCTTCTGCAGCAGTCCCCTGAACGATTTGGTCAGTTTGGTAGTCCGACTCTCCTTTCACGACTTCGATGTCGGCTTCATCGATCAACACGAATGAGTGCTCAGTATTAGTGTCCTCCTCAATTGTAGGTACTTCAGCTTCATAAAGCTCCCGCTCCTGCATGAAAACGAGAAACATTTATGAGAGTTTGCGTTTAAGCTGCAACTCGTTTCGCTTAAAAGTTATCAGAGGTATCTGTCGCGATACTTATGCTTGATGGTCACCGGGATTTACGCATAACTAAATAATGATTCGGTCGGTTAAATGAAACATTGTTCATTCTGAGTATGACAACTTTCTTTCCATTTGTTTTTAATACATTGATCAGTGGTTGACACAAATGGAACTCTTCAACCAGTGAGCATTTCGTGTACTCTCAGATAGATTTTGTGATCTTCAGCTTGCACCCTACCCGTCCGACCAAAACTGTCTTAAAGGAAGCTCATAAAGGTAAGCGTACATCCATTTAAATCTAGGTACTGAGTAGTACACTAATGTTAAAAGTGAAAAAAGAGAAATCTATCCTAAGTAGTAAGTTGTTCCAATCGATAATGTTTCACTACGCAACGAGAGCGCTTAGTTTAATTGACACTAGCAGAATCCCCGTGTGTGAAAGTGGTCATGTTGCTTACGTGGGTGGAATCGTCGCCCTATCCAGTAGGAGCAGCGCACACACATACAAGTGTCTGATGGGAGCATTCCGTGAAAGGATGGTAGCTGAGTCTTGTGTGCGACAACCAACAGGCGTTAAAAAATATCGGTCGTCCTCACATAGTTCACCTATTCTTCATTTTCGTTTCGACAGACAAGGCCAACTGGAGCCTAACATCGGACGAGCTGATGTAGAAACAGTTGCTCAGTTGCATGCCTAAATATGTTAAAAATATGAAGTGCTGGTGTTCCTTGCTCGCCCTTTTAGACAGACCTTTACCTGATTACCAGGCAGATAGCCTCACTGTTAACTATGCGAGCAAATTGTTGCCGTTCGTCTTGCGGCCAGCTACTTTTTTCACGTGTGTTAATCACCAGCGTTAAGAGATGGCCAAGCCATTCATATCAGTATTAAATCTGGAACGTCGCACTCTAGGCGGTGTCCACTGGCCAGGTTCCGTTGATGTGTGGCTACTGTAGGGGAATAGTTGATCGGATGCAATCCAGACAATCGCGCATACCAATGTACCAAGGCGACGTATGTTTCCCACCACTCCCGTATAAAGAGGTTTTTACCACTAGGGCCCAGGCGGTGGTCTACTAAGATTACTAAGTGGTCAGTCATTGCTTTTACGCTGTTGTATTATTTACTACCTCATGTAGAAGGCTGTCAGTTCCAAAGGCCTGGACTTCCCAAAATTGTGGAGCATTCGCATAAAATTAGGAGGAACGAAAGGAGCATAACCAGTTTGACACGATGTCAAGACATGGTTGCGAGAATCTGAGTACCAGCCTGGATTCTTGTCTTCTAGCGAAATGGCTGATAAATCGTAAATCGTCCGTAACCACAATTAGAACAAGCAATAAATATTTGGTTAATCCCACCGGATTCGGTCTCTACCATAGGCTTGTAATGGAAGTAGAAAAGCGCTGCAACCTTTAGAGCAAATAAATGTTATATGCCCACATGCTGATTGTGCTATGTCTTCCTGTTGCCATTATATCGATGTTCAAGCTCTCCTCATTAAGTTCGTGATTCGGGTGCATCTAGCTGACTCAGTATTGACAAGAGTGACAGTTAGCATGTTGTTATCAGCATGGAAGAAATGTAGTGGACCCATCCTGAGGAAGTTGGGTCTCGATATGCCTCAGCTATAAAGTCAAAAGACAGTTACGGACTTACATTTCAAAGGTACAAGGACCATTGCTCAGCGCGGCAAGCTGCACAGTATTCAAGAGGATTACTCTAGTTGCATTTACCCGCGTGGCTCCATTTGGTGTACTCCAGCTGAACTTGAATATGGTTGGCAGGGATCCCAAGTACGCCGTGACCACAACGAATGTGCTTTAGAGGCAGGTAGTGAAACGACAACGATACCTAATACTTTCCACATTCGGTTGTTCGTCATTTTATGCAATTTCTATAACTGTCCAGGTGGTGCCTTCCCCACCCTGAGCTCTCCTGCAGTGGCGCTTCAGGAGCGGATGCAAGTGATTAGGAACCTAACGCGCATTTACTTAAGTGGTTACAAGCCAAGCAACGCTTTCGTAATAACCTACGATAACCTACGTCTTGGTTATAAGCTTTGCTCACAATATCTAAATGGTAGCTGTCTGCTTTTTTATAGGCCAGACAAAACTTCCAACCGATATGAGCCTGTGTCACATGGCTACCAACCTGGAAGACTGACAAATTCAGATGATTATGAACGGGAAAAGCAAATTTTCCATGCATTTCCCACAGCAATCGTTGTCCATCGCGACATGTGGACAAGCCAATGCGACCCTTCTCATGATATAACCGGAGTACCGGTCAGCAATTCTCATTCCCAATGCTCTACCGTACTCAGGCCGCCTGGATATCGCTCACCAGCACTTCATCGCGAACAGCCTTTGCCAGAAACCCACGATTGTTTCAAATATTCTAAACCATAGATCACGTCCCAAAGACTTATCGTAGGATCACACGAACGAAGAAGCTGCGCACCTTACCATTTAGCTTGAGAGCAACAGCTCGACGATAGACAAATCATCTAATTGTAATAGATTCAAGGCAGGTTTTGCTGGTACTCTTGCCCATCCCTGCACTCCAAGATGCGTTTCATCCTTGGTTGGACCCGTCAGGTAGACATAGCCTGAGCTGGGAGTATAACTAGACCCACAGTGTCTAGCGGCTATCGCCGTGATCAATAAACCATGGGATACAGCCACTTTGAACGAAATGACAGAGGCTGACTGAAGTCAGCCGATACCACAATTGAGATTGTATGTCCCAATCCAAGACATCCGGTGGATGCTCCAAAACCCAACAATCAACTTCTAGCGCTGTATCAAGCACTGCTCGCGGAGGTCAATGGTCTAATGATCATGGCGATAGCCGTCAATCACTATTTGCCGAGTTCTACTCCCAGATAAAGCTAGCTCTACCTGACGAGTCCAAAGCAGGACGAAACCCTTGGTCGTGGAGTGCAGAGTTGGGAGATTGCAATACCATTGTCTTAATACATTGTCCCTTAATTGCGGTTAACTTCACCTGATGGTGTGCGTGTCTACCGGGTTTTCTTCTGTTGACACGAAAAACTCTGAGGAATATTAGTTACATCTGCCGTCAACTCCTGAAACTATCCACTACACTTAACTGAAGGCCCAATAGCTAGTGTTATCCAAGGTATATAACTGGCTGGAATGTCACCAAAATTATCCCGCGCATTCGTCAGCTCTGGAACGCCCTTGCCTCTTCAGGGATTGATTCGCCAACGTTATTCACAGTTAAAAAACTTTTGACTTTAAATTAATCCACTTATATTACTTGATATAACCAGTGGTCATCGGAAGACGACACAGGGCTGACTCTGGGTATTCAATATTTCCACAAAAGCGAAGTCTGCTGATGGCATTTCCTGTTTATATGTATGTTCTGGAGAATTTGTTAACTATGCGAGTAATTCTATGGACAACGGTCACTTCTGTAATGATAATACTTGCTCTACTCATCCCAAGGGAATTTCTAAGCCTCGGATTTAAATTAAAATCAACGACTGTTCTGTCTGTCTACTGTATCCACGCTGTTTTGCTTCAAGCTATAAATTAGCGAACATAAGTTGCAATCATCTTGAGTAAGTATGATATGGGCATAGATGATAAAAACCATCGGATATTACAACTAGTTTTCTGAAACAGCCCTAGTACCGAAGTAGTTGAACGACTGAAACGCGCGTTTAGAATTTATGATGTTTACTCATAAAAATTGGTTTCTTTTATCGCTATCCAAGAACTGGGGCACATTAACCGGAAGAAATGATGTCGTTAAACCACAAGTTATTCATTTGGCTCCAACAACCGGACAGATAACGATTTATGGCCTCCGAGTGCCTCTTCAAAGCTTCTCATATGTTAACACAAATTTCTGCACGGTCGAATGGCAGCAAGCAGCTCCTCGTACTATGGTGTTGTTGACCCATCACGCTAGTGCGACTACACAGCGTCCACGTACTAGTGGACTAGAAACTGGACCACCACCAATCCTGAAATTTATACACATGCTTTAGGCACATTAATGTGTGCCAAGCCACTTCCTTGGACGATGATTTTACCGCCTGTATGTTTACATGTAGCATTTCTACTGTAGCTTGCTTTGCACTCTCTATCCAACATTCAGTTTAATGTAGGAAGGGCTAGCTAAATAAGCATGTACGCCAAGCGCAAAGTATTGCCCACTGAAAAGGCAGAACTTCAAGGATACCACTGGCCTTGCATGCTTAGCTCATAGCAACAATGAAATAGTAATAAGTTTTTTCCGCACAGTTGGCATATTTAATCAACTACTTCGAATTCTTAGAATTGTCACACCTGGAACCTATACAGAAATCACGTTTTCGGAGAGCTGTGGATAATCAGTTGATTGATTTGGACGCCACAAACCTCTCTTAGACCAAAGTTAACTACTTATTGCTAGTTAGTAAGCTGTACTCCCTTTAAAGAACATTTCGAGTGCAACGGTGGTGTGGTTAATTTTGACCCGAGCCACAGTCTGGTGATTGAGTAACTACAGATGAACGCTTGTCAGGTCAGAGTACCCAAGAAGACAAAGCCGAATGTGATTGAACTCTGTTCTGATCAGGAAGGTAGTTAAGTTTGTTCGATCGAGGGTGTAGAACACTCTTCATTGATTGTACACACTCATTCCCCACTGGCTATCCTACATAAAACAGTATCCTGCGCGTGGGTGCTTGCACGTATACGTGGATGCATAAAGCCCTGTTCTCCTTGGGTAATCCAGGGGTTCTGCGCGAGCAGCACGATCAAGCTTCGCCATAGTCACATTCTCACTGCCCTCGTATATCGCCAGGATTTATCCTCCCAATTCTTACCGCACACATGTGAGCCTACACTCTATTGATCCATATTACTCAGCGTTATATAGTTCAGTACATCTTGTGAAGCCAACTTGTGCCGAGTAACGT